ACAGAGTGTTTCAAAAAGTATACACCCGTGATTTCGAAAAAAAACGTTAGGCCAGAATCTATACCACATAAAATCTGTGATCACTTTGTGCATACAAATTTCGAAATTTGGTGTTTGTTATCTGATCGTTTAAAAATCTATATGAGAGTACTTGGGGGAAGGGCCTGAGCTAAATTCCGAAAAAGATTCTCAAGAAGTTCCAGCCAAATTTGAATACCATGCGTCTATATTTTTGAAATGGACTGTTGGGCTGCACAGCGCTCGGTGGCTCGACTGGATTTCTTTGGGCAGTACTGCACATTGAGTTTGGTGGATTGAATTTTTCAATTGCTGTCACTGGGTTTACGCGGACACCAGAAGCCCAGTAGTAAACTTTTTTTTATCTTGTAGGAGAAATCCTGGTTTGATTTCAGGCAACAAATGTGAATCTCAAACTTCGATAGTGAATGTGTGTGGTTTTTATTTTTTTTGTTGTCCACGGCATCAGTTTTGTTACCTAACACTGTTTCTAAAGTGGTGAATGCTAGCATGGCCGGCTCGATGTCTCCCCCCCCCCCCTTACCCGCCCGCCCCATCTCTCTGTGTAAAGTATGTAAGTGACTGACGGTCTCCTCTCTTGTTCATGTTGTCTTTGCAAAGGTGCCGGAGATCTATCCGTTTACCGAAGCACAGTTCTACCTTCCGGACATGTTCAATCATTTCTACATGTCCGACCTCAGCAGTACGTACATCCAGTACTACTTATGGCCAGCTCTGGTGCAGGGAACCGAGCGGGTTGTTCTCGCCAAGGGCGTTGTAGTTACTTAACTGCACAAGCAAACATGAGGAGACCTCGACGGCGAGTGTACATGGTCCAATCTGGCAGCCACTTTGACCTGCACTGTAGCCGTCGAAATAGAACGCTGGCTATAGCTGTATTTCTCAGGGTGGTTGTCTGTGGCAGTCAGGTCAATTCGTCGTTTGTGTGTCTGAGGATGCAGGCGAGAATATCACATGCTGTCAGCTTTGGTCACTGACGGCACCAGATCCGCTACTTCAGTAACAGCTTGCGTTTCCCTGTACCACACTCAGCAGCAGCATCTCTGTATGACCAATATCTACACATTAATTCTGCCATAATGTTGAGCTTCGTGCACAGAATTGTAAATCAATAGCTTCATACACTGTTGGTAAAAGAAAACGATGAATCCAGCGAAATCCAGCTAAATCCAGCTATGTTTGAAACGAGAGGATTAATTAACAGTTTCTATTGTAACACAAAAACAGAGAATAGCTGAAAATAGAAAATATTATCCTAATGTAACTCTTTCCATATAATATTATTATTTTCTTGATATAATGGTATGCAAATCTCAAGAAGAAATATTCTTTTTCTTGTCAAGGGCCAGTATGCTAGAATGAATGCTAAAGTTAGTTTCATAGTAATATGCTAGAATGAATGCTAAAGTTAGTTTCATATCACACAGTGATAAGCGACCGCTGACTCATCCAGGGGCAATAGGATCTCCCTCTCTGTCTCTCTCATTAATTTTACATACAATGCTCGTCTTCGCTGAGATGCTGTGCGAGCTCCCCAAAACTTGGACGGTCGGCAGGGTGGTGCTTCCAGCAGGACACCATCACGCGTAAGCTGCACATGGAAAACAAAGTAAACAATTACAAGATGCAACATTTCATAACCTGTCAGCCCCAGTCCCCCCTCCCCACACCTAAAATCAGACATGCTCGTCATGGGAGCGATGATAGTGAACAGCCATGTTTAACATAGCAACTTGTGCTGGGATTACGCCATTCAACAGCTTGCAAGGCTTATGAGTTGACCACCACCAATTTTAGCCTGGTTTACCCCCACACACGTGTGTGATCTACTGTCGTGGACATGGAAAACCGGTCGCACTTCTAGCGGCCCCAGGGCGCTGGCCATGCAGCAATGGCATGCATTATTACGCGCTGCTGCTGATCGTATCGTATCAACATGTGCGCTGCATGCAACGACGACGTTCTGTACGCGCTAAGGGCGCCGGCCCCGGTCAATCGACTGGATTCCCATGTCCGCGACAGTAGCATCCAGACCCTCCTATTACGACCCCTTCTTTACATTCCTGCCCTCAACCCCCCCAAGATTGCAAAATGAATTTCCTTCTTCAGCCCCATCCCAAATTCCCTTGTGCCCCTTACTCCCCCCCCCCCCTCCAACAGCCCCAATTCATGTTACCTCTGCAAAACAAACTCTCTACATTCCTGTGTAGCTCTCGCCCCTACGAACAAATACATTCACGTGCTGTGTCTACTTCATTCCACCTTGGCAGGGGCGTAGCAGCCGCTCCGGCAGGTCCGGCTTTGGCCGGACCACTTTTCCGCCCGACCACGACCACCATCGTAAAACAATGCCAAAAGTGCCCAGAATGCAGGATTTTGCACCCTAATTTCAAAAGATTTCCGCGGGGAGATCCCCCCGGCCAACGGTGGTGCTACGCGCCTGCTTCGTCATGGGCAATCT